TTCCGATAATAGATCAACTTCTCTCACAGAAGCTTATCGAGAGTAGTATCTTCTCGATCTACCTCAGGCATGATGGCACTAATAAAAGAGGGGAGCTCCTTCTCGGTGGATCAGATCCTAGTATTTATCGAGGTCCGTTGGTCTATGTATCGGTTATTCAGCCCAGGTTTGTTCGGGTCACTGGCTTCTCCCTTGGAGGTCAAACGTATCCTGTAATGGTTGTGAACGATTTTGGCGACCTTGATACTGGAGCAGAGTTCATATTCATCCCTATCCGTAGGTATGCGCTTCCTACCCTCATAAAAGATCTTGAGGCTCGATCAAGCAGTAAGGTGACGATTACCCAAGAGGGTTCTAAGCTTATCGTCAATTGTAATCAACGGCAAAACCTTCCTTCGGTGAACTTCCTTTTAAAGGGTGTTGATGGTTCGAACGTTGAGGTGAAGATCCCCCCAGATGCATATGTGGATATTAGAACGGATGCCAAAAAGCAAACTTTTTGTCGCATACTTCTTGAAGTGTCTGATGATGATGTATGGGGTATTGGTCACCCTAGCGTCATGGGACGTTATTTTTTGTATGATTGGAAGAATAGTAAGATAGGTATTAGTGAACTCAAGTAGAAACATTTTTCGAGAGTGAGATAAAATAGACTATAGGAATGCGTATCGGCACATGCGCGAATTGATTACTTCACACAGGAATCAGTCATTAGTTTTTCAATCATCCATTGACCCTCCCATCTTTCATTATTGTGTTGCACCAGTGCGTCCAAATATTATAGGAATTATGTTTATCTTGTGCGATAACGGATCGAGTATCCATAGCTTCTACACTTTTTCAGCGCCTGTTCCAAAAATCGTAATTCTTATTTGGACGGGCGGGTGAAATAGAATTAAAGAGACTCTTTTAGGAACTTCAACTTCGACAAGGAGGGATAATAAGAACTTCAATTTCAACACTAGTTGGCCGTATTAGTGAAGGGAGTTCCTCGTTCCCCCTACCGAATGAGAGTCCTACTACATCTCACATTGAACTGACCAAGAATTCCGCCAAGCTGCAATCTCGGTGTGCGAATCATGCGAAATTGGTTCATTCCAAGCAGGGACTGTGAGAGCAGTACCAAGCGCAATGTGCTTGGTATGAAAAGTATGTATTGTAGCTTCGCCGTTAAAATGAAGTCTGTTACATACCGCGTCTACTACATGTTTTCGTTGCCAAAGGGAGCATAATCAAGGCTCATGCGTGCTCCGTCCTTCGAAGCCGCGACACCTGGTATATCTATCAATCAACTCGGAGCTGAACAGTTCGACACATATCATGGAACTTTTTTTACATTCTTTTCACCACGGGATGTTCCATCAGGAATGGCAGTTGACATGAAACAGTATTGATATCCGTTATCACAGTATTGAGAGTTACACTATCATACACAGGTCACAATCTGCAGACTTTGGGATCCAACTCACACAAATCACCAGTGATCAGCCACTGGTCAGATTAAACCGGAGAGCTTCCTTGAGGTGTACAGAATACTCATTCTACAGATGATTCCTCCTGTACTCCTTACTTCGCTCTTCGGATGAACAAGGACTTATGTTCCATTTATTCTGCCAAGCGACGCTCGGAATGGATTCATTCCGGAATTGCATCGACGAGCAGCTTGCTCTCACCGAGGTTGCTTCGTCACTGTTTGCTTCGTCGTCTGTCGGCAATCCCCTGCAAAAGTTCACCATG